TTGGAATTGAAAATACAATGCAGTTAGTATGATGCACCGAGCCCGGTGCATGCAAAACAGATGAATGAATGCAAACATGCTATCATACTGTATGCTAATTGAAACATGTCCTAATCTAACCATCATAAGCTGGTAAATAAAAGGGAGAAAGACGTGGGGCTAGAAGACATACATCACACACACGCACACTTATTACAATTGTGCCCTCGCTCGGAGGGTCCGAATAAATAATACAGTCCGAATAAATAATTACAGTCCGAATAAGTACAAAATCCTAATTAATTAACAAATTAATCTATGAAAGCAGATAAATTGGCACGCAAATCCATGGACCGCCGCAGCTCTATTCCAAATGATGAATGATGCATGCTCAAGTTGCCCGGCGCGGAAATCCATTGCGGTGCCCCGGTTTGCCTCTGTTTGCAATTAATGCCGGAATGCTATGCAAGGCTCTTAAAAAGCTGCTGATTTCTGATTTACTGCAACAGAGAGCAACAAAGGGGCATGGTAAAGTATTTCACACATGTATGCATGACTACTCTTCAAGGAGTGTGGTCCTCGATCCTCGTGCCACCAATCACGTATATCGATGCATGATGGCCGAGGAGTCGAATTGCACGACTTAATATGAAATGAATGCACATGAAAACACAACAAGACCTAAACTCCATCATGGGTAATCCGGAGTGTTGGTGACAGGGAATTGAGACACGTTCCGTCACTCGGAATATGAAACGTCCCTCGTTTCCCGTGCTCGGGCTAACTCTTATCCCAAACACAATGCAAATGGAATGGCATGCACAATGCGACTAATATGCAACCTAGCATACGCAATGCTATATACTAAAATGGCATACACAATGCGCGTGATGTAACATGGCATACACAATGCTCTAAAATGCAACCTAGCATACGCAATGCTATGGATTGAAATGGCATACACAATGCAAGATGGACTTACACCAACATGAGTGGACCTCAGCCGCACTCACATCAGTAGCCATAAGATGAAAATGAGATGACCGAAATGCGTGCACATCTGCACGCAAACCGAGGACCGAACCTAAGGCATAAAATACCACTCTGCCAAAGCATGGCAAGGATGAAGCATGACATTCAAACATGTAATTTTCAGCACTGAAACATAATGCTAAATGGTCCCGAATCATGCAAACATGGCACCCGATGCATGGAGTAAGCCCCGAAACTCAAAACTAGGCACATGTATTGACTTGTAGCTATACAAAGCATGCATTATTTGACCATGAAGCACAAAGACAGAGCCAAGGCAGTCCCAAAACATGAACATTTCTAGTTCAAAGCATGACCAAAAGATGCTAGCATGATGGACTAAAATAGCATGCAACTTTGACTAGCAAACATAGTTTATATGGCATGCATATGAAGCATATGAAATCTCACCAAACCAGCAAAAATCAGTGAATAAAACATGCCAAAATATGTCCAAATAATCACTGAAATGCAGCCAACATGTGCAAAAATGAGGGGCTTCTTTGGAAGGTCATTCAAGGGGTTGTTAAGCACATATAAGATAGACACTTAGCATGGCATAACCAACTCTAGAAATCAAATATGACAGCCCTAAAACTCACCAAATTGACCCTAAAATCGGTTTAGGGAACATGCAAAGAAAGGCCTCTTTGAAGGGCCTTGAATGGGATTGGTCTACACATGCAACATAGACCTAAAATATGGTGAAATGGACCTCGTACAGAGCCAAGAAAGACCTCAAAACCCTCATAATGAGGCCTGGAAAGTGACTTCGATGCATGAAAAATAGGGTCCCTTTGGAAGGCCCAAAAGACCCCCAAACAAGACAAGGAGAGAGGGGGTCACCCCCCTCTAATTTTGGCCCTCAAGAATGCATCAAATCCACTGAAAATCCACTGGATTTCAGTGCCTAAGAGGCCAAACCATGGCCAATGCAAGTGTTCTAATGCATAGCCTTAATCACGACGGAATAAAGCATGCATAGGGGAAGATGACCCCAAACAGAGAATAGACCATAATCAAACATAAATATGATATCAAAACAAGATTTTTTCAGTTTAGGTCGAGGTCTAAAATGGCTCACAAATAAGGCTAATGTATCATGCAAAAAACAGTCCTAAAAGAGAGATTGAACAAACAGGGCAGCAAAAGGCCTCAAACAGCAAAGAGTCCTTCAACAAAGTTGAAGAGGGGCTCAAAACAAGATACTTTACAATTTATGACAAATCTCTAATATGCTCACAAGTAAGGCTAAAATATGATGCAAAAATAGCCCTAAAAGAGAGATAAAGGGAAAGGGACAGTAGAAGACTTCAAACAGAGAAAAGTCCTTAATCAAACATGAATATGAGCTCAAAATAAGACTGTTTTTAGTTCAGGCCAAAGCCCAAAAATGTAAGCAAAATGGGCTAATATATAGAACAAAATAGTGCAAAAAATGGGGAGAATAGGAGCTTACCCTTGTAGCCCAACTTTCCAGCAGCCTTTGGTCCAAGGAAATGAGCTTTCAACCTCTGTAAATGACTTCCAAGGGGCTGGAATGGATGATGGTGGTGTGGTGCTATGGGTTGCAGTGTAAATGGACCAAGGAAGTTAGGGTTTTGGAGCTTGGAATAGAAGCAATGGAGGTGGGAGGTGATGAGCCTTAAGCAAAAGTGTCCAACCAGCCAAGATGAAGAGGAGGGCCTCTCATATAGAGAAGAGAGGCCAAAGCTTCTCTTGGAAGCTTGAAAGATCCTCCATATATGGAGGATGCACCAAATGATCTCCAGCTGGCACAGCTGGATTACACTCAAAGAGAAGAAAAGCAATAAGCAGGCCGGCCAGTTCAAGTGGCCAGCCGGCCACTCCCCCTGGTCGGCCGACCAGGGGTCAAAAGGTTCAAGAACAATTGCTGGTCGGCCTACCCAGAAAGGTGGCCTCCCAGATGAGTAGAACACAGCCCTGTGGAGAAAAACCAAAAAATATGACCCAAGAGAGAGAAATGTTAGCTTTTTAACAAGGTTCAAAAGGGTCAAGAAGAATTACTGGTCAGCCTACCCATATTGGTGGCCTCCCAGATGAGTAGATCACAATGGCGGTATGAAAAGCCAGAAAATGTGGCTCAAAAGTGAGAAAAACCAGCTTTCTGTCAGAAAAATCGGCTTTTGGAGAGAAAAAATGAGAAAACTGGCTTTTCAGGGGAATAGGTGGCCGGCCACCATCCTAAAATACTCTTAATCTAAACTCTAAATTTCTATAATTTAAGAGAGAACAATATGAGAGAGAGATATCTGTTTGGTCTCTTGAAGAATGGAAAGAAGTTAAAAGTTTTATAAAATAATATATAACCCAATTTTTATGGGTTATATATTTTTTTTGCCAAATATGAACAAGAAGTATGTTATTGGCAGAGTGGATTGGGTGCATGGTAACTCCTTGGTCAGGAGTTCAAGTCCCAGGGAGCACAAAAGAATTATTTTTTTTGGGTCAAGGCACTGACTTTTGGCGACCAACTTATCTTTGGTCGCTAAAAGTTTACTTTTGGCTAATATGAATTGGACTTTCCGCGACCAAAAATGTTGGTCGCGAATGGTCACTTTTAGCGACCAAAGGCTTTTTTGGTCGCAGAAAACTATTTGTGACGAGGCTTTAGCGACCAAATCGCGACCAACATATTTTGGTCGCGAAAAGGTTTTAGCGACTAAATATGGTACTTTTCGCAACCAAAATGTTGGTCACGGAAAGTGTTTTTTCTTGTAGTGAATAAGCAGGCCGGCCAGTTCAAGTGGCCGGCCGGCTACTCCCCCTGGTCGGCTGACCAGGGGTCAAAAGGTTCAAGAACAATTGCTGGTCGGCCTACCCAGAAAGGTGGCCTCCCAAATGAGTAGAACACAGCCCTGTGGAGAAAAACCAAAAAAAGTGACCCAAGAGAGAGAAAAGTTAGCTTTTAAGCAAGGTTCAAAAGGGTCAAGATGAATTTCTGGCCGGCCCACCCATATTGGTGGCCTCCCAGATGAGTAGATCACAATGGTGGTATGAAAAGCCAGAAAATGTGGCTCAAAAGTGGGAAAAACCAGCTTTCTGTCAGAAAAATCGGCGTTTGAAGAGAGAAAATGAGAAAACTGACTTTTCAGGGGAATAGATGGCCGGCCACCATCCTACCACCTCCCTAACAGTGAAAATAGGGTCTCTACCAAAAATGGACCAAAACGGATGCAAAACGAAGGTCCGGGGGCCAAAACGCGCGGTTCGGGGCCCCAAAAACAGACTGTTAGGCACCGGAAGTGGCGTATGACCACGAAGGTGGTCTCCCATGCCACAGTGTCCCTCTAAAGGGAGGAAATAAGGTGTGTGCCAAAAACCAGAGCAAACGGAGGTAGTTGAGCGGTCCTGAACCGAGGCACACGGCCGACGGCTCTAAAAATCAAAAACCGGGCTCCAAATGGGAAAAAATGGCCTACGACCACGAAACGTAGCCTACGGCCACTGAGAGATGATCTACGGGAGCTCTCCCTCTCTTCGGGAAGAGAAAACAGGACCTGGTTCGCAAACCGAGGCAAAGCACAAAAGAGCCCCGAAGTCCGGAGGCAAGGCTCGCAGCCGAGACTCTGAAACCTCAGAACGAGCACAATATGCAACATAACCGAGCGCTCAACTGGTGACGTCTAAGTCTTAAGGTCGGTCAAACATGGGGTGTCTACACACTTCTGCCCAAAGATTACCAATTCTATTCAATATGGTTTTATTCCATAGATTCCAAGGTAATCCATAGCAACATAACCATACCTTACGTTCTTTCACTATAACTAGCTCAGGTTCCCACTCCACTATTTCCTTACACCAGTCCTCTACCCACACCTTTATGTTCTCCAATTTTGCTTGCCTTTCCTCTTTGGATTTAAAAGTTTTCAATACATCCCTACCCCCACCATCCCTCACCAATACATTCTTCATGTCCCTCTCCTAAATTTCTTCTTTATGTTGAATGTTGGTTTAAGGTGCACCACAACACTGTCATATAACCACCTATTCCATATTTCCTCTGCCTTGATTGTAACAATTCCTCCTCCCATGTTGCCAGTGCTCCTCAGGTTTCCCCTTAGCATAATCTATATGCTTTACTTTGAGTCTCTTGTCGACCACCCGTATCCCATTGGCCTTTTGCACTGCTACTTCGACTACCACTGCACAGTCAAATCTGACGAAAGCAAATCTAGCATTCCTCACTTTCCTTCTCTTCTATGGAATGTAAACATCTTTCACTACTCCAAACTTCCTGAATATGTCAAACAACCTCTTCGGATTCATTGAGCTTGGTAGTTCATCCACAAATATTGTGAAAAGTCTTGTATTTGCTTCCTTTCTCCACCCTCCCTGTCTTCCTCTCTGTTTCAACACATGGATCAATCAACCTTGCCTTTCTTCATCTGTTTCCTGTTTGCAATCCTAAGGTACACAACAAAAAGTATATCGGTTTGATATCCTTTATACATATATAACTCCCCAATCTAGCATGATCATACTAAACACGTTAAAGTCGGTTGACATTTCATCAAACAGAATCTCGAAGCCAAGATAATTCAATTACCATTTGTTAAATCTAAAGACTAACTGGCACATATACTTACAAAGGCTCTTTCTAGCAAAATTTTTTACAACTCACTTGACAAGTTGGGCATTGGAGATATTTATGCACCAACTTGAGGGGAATGTTGGCATGAGTTGTCAATGAAGAGATAATTGGAGAAATTATAGGATTAGTTTATTTTGGAATCCCTTATTTCAAGGGTCAACCAAGATATTAGCCTTAGAAAGTGCACAGTCTAGAATAGCTTCCATAACTCTCTCTTTGTACTACTATATATGCATGTATTTGTTCCTATAAAGATATAGAAAATAATTCTCTTCTTTTTATTAGGGGGTCCTAAGAAGAAAGGTATGGACATTTAGCAATTCCCATTATATATACAATTTTACACACAATTCTACATATACAAATCATGTAGAAGGAAAAATCTAAATCAAACCAAGAAAGAAAGCTCCATTAGATTCAAGTCTCTAAAGCTCTGAAGGTCTTTTCGCCAAAGCCTGTCAATCTCCATAAAGCATAAAGCTCGGAGGATCAAATCAAAGTTTATCGTGAAACTTACAAATTTAGTGTCTTCTATTAAATTGACAAAGATTTTGGAAATCTGGTTTGAGAATAAAGTGATCAAGCCCTCAAGTCAAAAATCTACAAATTTGTCATCTTCTTCACAATACTTGGAGAAGATATCACCATTTGATTCGGGAACAAGATGTCAAGCACTCGAATCAATTTTTTTAAGAGAAGAATCAGATGATTATTTTCTTTTATTAGAAAAATCATCAGAGATTGTACTCTTTTTTCTCACCAAAAGTCTCAAAATTTTGGCGCCATCAAAAAAAATTAGCAGGAAAACCTTTGGTGACGAAACTTAATTTTTCCTCACCTAAAAAGAAGTATTTGTTGACGAAAATAAATTTCGTCGTCTATTATTTTTATTTTTTTATTATATGTGACAAAATTTTATAATTCGTCACGAATTATTCTTATTTAGTGACGAAATTTATTTTCTTCACTATTTTTTGTCACCATAGGTTACTTTTGTTGTAGTGAAAGAAGGAAAGTGACCAATTCAAGATTCGGGTTTGTGCGGTATAACTGTAGCATAGCAGCATCTGTCGCAATCCAAAAAGGAAATGGGCTCTTGGTGGATGACTCTATGCTAGAGGTCAAACTGGCTGCTTATGACAGAAATAGCAGAAGTGAACAGAGTAAGAAAAAGCTTCAGCCTCCCAGAAGATTCTCGGATACGATCAATTTCAAGGGTAAAGATGCACTTGTAGGTCACAGATCTTTTGCTGAAGTCCTAAAGGGTGTCACCTCTGCAGCGGAAGGTAACACAAACACAAACATAACCATAAAAGCCAAAGAAGAGGGCAATGGTTGGCTGTACGAAAGTGCTATTGTTAGGTTCAACAACGAACATTCCACTCACAACATCCTAAAAGTCCTGGAGGAGAAAGGGATGGAGCAGATAGAAGTCAGAAAAGGAGGAGGTAGAGATGTAATTATCTCCTTTAACTCTACAAGTGATCTGCAATCAAACATTGGCAAGATCAAAGAGTGGTTCAAGGACGGGAGCCAATCTGTGATGGAATGGAGGCCAGATTATCATCTGCAACAAGAGCGGTGTGTGTGGTTGAGATGCTATGGTATTCCCTTGTATCTTTGGAGTAGGGCTACTCTTAACAGCATTGGCAATATCTGGGGCACTATTCTCAGCATAGACGGTGACGTTTGTCACCCAAAATCCTTCTCTTATGCTACGATTAGAGTGGCTACCGTATGCATGGAGCTCATCAATAAAACTATTACTCTAGAGTGTAGGGGCTATCCTCATCCCATCCTTGTTTGTGAAGACCATCTAGGCGATTCTAGTAGATTGAAGCCCTTCGGCATAAACGACTCCAGCCCCACTGAAACCTGCTTCAGTGATGAGGGTAGGATCCTTCCAGCAGCAGCGGCTTGGGTGAAGATTGATGGTGATGAGGTGGCAGACAGGAGAGCCTTGATTGGTGCTGACCTGGCTTGCACAAATGAGGTTGTGCAGAGGAAGGAGCTTCCTGACAGTCACATAGCTGATGAAGTGGGTACTGTTGTCGAGGAGACCCCCTGTAAAGGTGGTTCCAGCAGAGACAAAGCAGCATGCGTTGAGGGGTTTTCGATGGATGGGTCAGAGCTAAATTCAAAAAGTAATGATAGCAAGTTCAGGTGTGCTCAGCAAGCTTTCTCTTCTGATCATATTAGCAGGTATGATTTTAATAATGGTATTGGACCTGATATCAATTTGGACGAAAATTTGGCTAATGAACCTCTTACAAGTCTTGGGCCTAGCATTGGGCCTGGCATTAATTTGGAAGTTTTCTTGGCCCACTCTCCTAGCGGCCCTGAAATTCTACCCCAGCCCATTGACTCTGATAATTTCAACCCTCTAAGTAACGGCATATTAGCCCATGTGCATTCTGTTAGTCCCCTTTCCAAGTCAAGACCTACTGGGTTATTACCCATGAACCTCATTCATTCGGCCAAAGCTAAAACCCCTATCCTTAATACAAAGTCTCTGCAGTCTGAAAAGAAAAAAGGGAAAAAGAAGACTCATATAGAGGGCTTTACCAGCTTTGCTAGATTCCATGGCTATAGAACTGCAGCAGCTCACAAGCACTCCTCTAAGTCAGTTATTTTCAGTCCAGCAGCTTCTGCTTTTGCTCAATCTGATCTATCTGATGGTAGCTCATCTTCGAACAATGATCTATTTGAGGAGGCCAAAGCCACTATACACTTGGGGAAATGCTTAGGCATCATCTACAATGGGAAAGAAGACACTGTGTTGAGCAAGATAATTGATTTAGAGCTTAAAGACAAGGATAGAATCTCTGATAAGGGGCGGGATCAGAAATAAGCTTCTGCTCATGGGAGCCTTGAGCTAGCCATTTTGTTTATCTATGAAGCTATTATCTTGGAACATTAGGGGTTTGGGTAAATCTGAGAAGAAGGGAAGAATTAAAAGACTGCTAAAGGACAAGCATGTTGATATTGTTTTTTTCCAAGAAACCAAGCAAGCTGTGGACTCTGAAAATGTTGCTAGAAAGCTTTGGGGATGCAGAAATATGGAATTCATGTCTGTGGATCCTGTAGGCTCTGCTGGTGGACTTCTATGCATATGGGACCCTTCAGTGTTCCAATTATCTGGCTGCTGCTGCACTAGGAGGTATATATTACTTTCTGGCTCTTTGTATAATTCCTTTGATTGTGTTTTGATAAACATATATACACCAAATAACCCCTCTGCTAGATCATCTTTTTGGGCGGGTATAGTCAAGCTTAAGGATCACTTTCCTGCACCTTGGTACATGGGTGGAGACTTCAATGAAATTAGACATATATGTGAGAGGGTTGGCTGCTCCAGGAGAGACATGGGGATGAAACATTTTAATGAGTTTATTGAGAAATGTGAGCTCCATGACTTACCTCTTCATGGTAGGAAATACACTTGGTGCAATGCCCAGGAAGCTGAGAAATGGAGCCGCATAGACAGAGTACTCCTCAGCCCAGAATGGTTGATTAGCTTCAGAATGAAGTTATGGGGCCTGCCTCGACTAGTTTCTGATCACTGTCCTCTGCTGTTGATGGAAGATGAAAGGGACTGGGGTCCCAAGCCTTTCAAGTTTCTCAATGCCTGGACTCTCCATCCAAGTTTCTCTAAGTTCTTTGTTAACATTTGGAGCAGCACTACTGTTACAGGGTGGGCCGGATTCAGAATTGTTCAAAAATTAAAGCAGCTAAAGACAGAGTTAAAAAAATGGAATGTTGAAGTGTTTGGACATGTCACATCCAAACTCAAGGCTTTAGAGGCGGAATTGCATACATTAGACATCTTAGCAGAGGATGGACTCTTGGATGATTCTGGGAGGTCAAGAAGAAGAGTGGTCAGAGGTGAAATGTGGCATTTGCTCAGAATGGTGGAGTGGATTTGGCACCAAAAATCCAGATTGAACTGGACTCTAAATGGGGATAAGAATACTAGATTCTTCCATGTTTTTGCTAATACCAGACAGAGTAGAAACATGATCAGCTCTATAGTAGTCAACGACGTGTCTTATGAGGATCCTAGCAGGGTTCAATTAGAGGTCTACCAACACTTCAAGAAGTTGTTTGCTGAGGATTGGGTCAAAAGACCCGTCTTGGGAGGGCCATTCAACACCATTGAGGCAGACTATGTTTCTCATCATCTTGCTGCAGAATTCAGTGAAGCTGAGATGTTGGCTGCAATTAAGGATTGTAATAATAACAAAGCCCCAGGCCCCGATGGTTTCAATCTGTTGTGTTATCAGAAATTTTGGAAGACTATGAAACCTGAGATCATGCAATTCTTTGCAGACTTCCACACAAATAGCAAACTGACTTATGGGATTAATAGCACTTTCATTAGTTTAATTCCTAAGTTGGAAAATCCCTCCGGCCTATCTGATTACAGACCCATTAGTCTTGTAAGCTCCCTTTACAAAATTTTGGCAAAAATGTTAACACACAGACTGAAGCCAGCTCTATCCTCAATTATTGGTGAAACTCAAACTGCTTTCATCGGTGGAAGAAACATCCTTGATGGGGTGTTCATTGCCAATGAAGTAGTGGATGGCTGGAAGAAGACCAACAAGAATGGTTTGATCCTAAAGCTAGATTTTGAAAAGGCTTTTGATTCGGTTAACTGGGAATTCTTGTTCTCTCTGCTATCTAGTTTCGGGTTTGGTAACAAATGGATCTCTTGGATGAAAACTTGTGTGTCTACAGTAAGGATTTCCATTCTCGTGAATGGTGCTCCAACAAAGGAATTCTCACCACAAAGAGGGCTAAGGCAGGGCGATCCGTTATCACCTTTCTTATTCAATATTGTGGCTGAGGGATTAAACATTCTTTTGACCAGAGCAATTAATCTTGGAATTCTTAGAGGTGTTCATGTTGGATCCAACGATGTCCTCTTGTCTCACCTACAATTTGCAGATGACTCAATTCTTTTTTCTGAGGCAGATTGGGATCAAATGGTACTCATCAAAAGAATCCTTAGGTGCTTTGAAATCCTATCTGGGCTTAGAATTAATTATCACAAAAGCGTGGTGTGTGGCGTCGGTGTGTCTGATACTTTATTGCTCTCCTTTGCACATCTCCTTAACTGTAAAGTACATAGCCTTCCTTTGAAATTTCTGGGACTGCCTCTAGGTGCCAATACTGGTAAAAAAATCTACCTGGAAGCCCGTGATTGACAAGATCAGATCTAAACTCTCAGGGTGGAAGAGGAAACTGCTATCCTTTGCAGGTAGATTAACCCTAATCAAGTCTACTCTATCTAGTTTACCAGTGTACTTTCTTTCTTTGTTTAAGATGCCAGAAGGTGTGGCAAAAGAATTCGAAAAGATTGAGGCAGCTTTTTTATGGGGCAGTAATGATCTTAAAAGGAAAGTGCATTTAGTGAAATGGGGGGAGGTAACCAAAAGCTTGAACCAAGGGGGCCTGGGTATCAGAAGAATAAGAGATATGAATGCTTGTCTATTGCTCAAATGGTGGTGGAAATTTGGAACTCAAGTAAACTTTCTTTGGAGGAGAGCTATATGTAGCAAATACAATATTGATGAGGCTAGTTGGCATCCACCTCTAAAGCCCTCCTACAAACATTCTAGAGTTTGGAAGGACATATTATCTATTGGGATTCATAGCACAAATGTTTACAATTTCTATATAGATAACTGCCAAATCCAAGTGGGGGATGGGAGTAGGATTAAATTTTGGCATGACAGATGGTGTGGCAGCTCTAGTCTCAAGTCTACTTTTCCCCTTCTCTTTAATCTTTCTACAGATAAAGAAGGTTCCCTACAACAGTTCATGGCAAGAAAGTCTAGCCCAAACAATTGGAATTTTCCTATTAGGAGAGTGCTTTTCAGCTGGGAATTGGTAGAAGAAGCTAACTTACTTGGTCTACTATCTTCAGCTCCCCTAAGGTTTCATTCTTTACTTGGCTGGCCTGGAAAAACAAAATCAAGACAGCAGTGTTTATGCACAGAATTGGCATCTTAGATGCTTCTGCTTCTCTCATCTGCCAATTTTGTCGTTCTGAACCTGAATCTGCTATCCATATCTTGCTTCATTGCCCATTTTCTTGGTTGATTTGGTCATCTATAATTAATGAGTGGGGGTTCTCTTGGTGCATTCAAGGATCAGTGGATGATCTCCTCCAATGGTGGATGACTGTCAAGCTCAAAAATTTTGATAGGTTAATTTGGAGAGCCATCCCCCTTATTGTTCTTTGGTCGCTTTGGAAACTTAGGAATGAATGTGTCTTTGCAGAGGCTCAACCTAGTCTCTCTGGCTTGAGTGAAAATATCAAAATTAGAGCAATACTTTGGCTGAAAGCATCTATTAAAGATCTTCCTTATTCCGTTGCTGATTTAATTTTCAATTGGCGTCAAATCAGAGGATGTTCTTAACTGTTCTGAGCTGCTTTGTGTTGAAATCTGGGTTTGTATGGATGTCTTGTGGAGTTTGTTAGCATGTAGTCAGTCTGTAGTCTTCTGGAGCAGTTTAGTTTCTAGATGAGTTGAAGTCAAGTCCAATCTCTTAGAATTCTGGATCTGGGCTGCTAGCCTGCAGCTGCTAATCTAATTTGTTCTGCTGGGTAGAACAGGGCTGCTGAGAAAGTTGATCTGAGCATCTACTGGTATGCCCTCTGTTGTGTGTGAGTGGGTTAGTGCCTTGTCTTGGGACTGCTACTGGTGCAATCAGAGTTTATGGATGTTAATTAGTGGAGTGCTATGTTGGTCTGTCAAGGTTCAAAAATGCATCATTATTGGGTATTGGTTTTGGTCTTAGATTTGGGCTGCTAGTATGCTAACTGTGGAAGGTTTCTGATATGTTAAGGTGAGCAGGGTTGCTGAGATGACAGTGGCTGGGGATGGACTGCTAGTGTATGGATGTTGTCTTTTTGTTTTTGTCTTGTTTTGTTCTGCTCTGTTTGTTGGTTTCTCACCATCTTGGAGCCTCGAGTGTGTGCTAGCAGATGATTGGGTGTGCGTTTAGGTGCCAACCTAGTTGGGATCCAAATGTTTCACTGTGATGCTTTTTGCACCCTCTTCTTTATTGATGTATTCTTATCATACTTGTTATGTTTTTCATCAATAAAACTTTTCTTTTACCGATCAAAAAAATATTCACTATTTAATTGGATTAATATTCATTGGATTAATAATCTCACCCCTACCACATTACTAATAATCTTACAAATTTGTTGGATTAGTTATTCATTAGATTAATAATCCTAAATAAAAAATGTTAAAACAAACATAGGATAATTAGGCACACGAATTAATAATGTCAATCCCATACTCTAATCCACCCAATCAAACATGCCCAATGGGTTTTTAACGTTAGACTTACAAGGAATCACACATCTAAGCTCCAAGTCTTGACCACCGGGTTTATTTGTTCAAAGTTTATCTTTTTGTCTATCTATTCAAATATCACTTACATGTACATGTGTTAAATATTTGTTCAAATGTTCAATTATTATTCAAATGTCACTTATCTATATATATATATCACCTATCATTCACCTATTTATTCAATGTCATATTTGTTTATTTCACTACCACCTGCTATCGTCACCTGCCAATGTTCGCCAGTTGCCGACAACAATAACTTTTTCGATGACTTTTTAACATGTATCATTATCATTTAAAAAAGATTAAATCTTAAATTAAATAACACATGACCCTATAAAACTAAATTTTTCACCAATTAAACCTAAATAAAATGTGACTATCTAAAAGTATAAAAAAAAAATAAATAAACCCTAAATAAAATGTATTTGGTGCGTTTGTTAGAAATGCTTTTCATTCACCTAATTCGCCAAATTTGGTGAGTTAGGTGAGCCATCTACTCACTCACAACTGAAATGGATGCAAGTCACCAAATTCTCTATATTATTCAACTACCGACCGGCAGATTGGGTAGGAAAACGGGTTAAATGATTTTGGCAAAGTTACAAATAAAACTTTGGAGTTTGACTATTTTAATAAAATAATTTTTTTATTTTAAATTTTATTAATTTTAATTTTTTGATTTATTTTTAATTTAAATTATTTCTCTATTTTCAACAAGTAAAAATGATTAAAAAATAATATTTTAATAATTAAATTTAATGTAAGTATACATAAAATATTTAAAATGCTTTTTTTTCATTAATTTAATGATTAAAATATCATTTTTCTATTAGTTTTACTTAATAGAAATAAGAAGATGATTTGAATTGAAAATAAATTAAAAAAATTTAAATTTAAATTGATAAAATTAAAAATTAAAAATTTGTTTTGTTACAAGTGTAAAATCCCGACAATTTTTTATTTATTTATTTTTAAATTTCCCCATTGGTTTTTCATTCAAACCAGTCAATGGCTGCTAATGTATACTCTTTTTTTTTTTTTTTTTTTTTTTTTAAACTTTGTACTCCATATGTGTTACTTTAACACATTATTTATGTATTTTTGTTTGGGAAGAGATAGGGGATGTACTCCATATGTGTTACTTTAACACATTATTTATGTATTTTTGTTTGGGAAGAGATAGGGGATGTACTCCATATGTATTACTTTAACACATTATTTATGTATTTTTGTTTGGGAAGAGATAGGGGATGTACTCCATATGTATTACTTTAACACATTATTTATGTATTTTTGTTTGGGAAGAGATAGGGGATGTACTCCATATGTATTACTTTAACACATTATTTATGTATTTTTGTTTGGGAAGAGATAGGGGATGTACTCCATATGTGTTACTTTAACACATTATTTATGTACCTTTGTTTGGGAGGAGATAGGTGATGTACTTCATATGTGCTTATATACTTTAACACATTGTTTATGCACCTTTGTTCGAGAGGAGGTAGGGGATGGTCTCCATAGATAATTAAGCCGGCCGGGGTGTCTGGGGTGAAAGTCTTGAAACCTTATAAATTGAAATACATGAATAAAGTTGTCAATTGAAGTATTAATTACATGAGTTGTAGCCTCATTTTGAATTGTGGATAGCGGAAGTATTAATGAGTCGAGCTGTAGACTCACCTAAATTGTTGGGTTAGATAATGAACCATACTGAGGAATTGAATTGGATAAATAAGGGAAGTGGATGGTAGCATGGATGTAATTGTTGTCGGGTGATGAGAAGGGTGCGAATTGGTCTACACGTGTTAATCATTTGTCGAATGATAATGTTTTAGTTATTTCTCATATTGGGTTTAGTATATCTCTACTGGGTTTTGGCTCACCCTACTTGGGACACCATTTTTAGGTACAGGAGACGTGCCAAGTTCAAGATCTTTGCTTAGGAAGTTTTCGGAGTTGAACTACTTTGCTATTTGTTTTATTGATTACATGTAAATGCAAGCTGAGGGCTTTACTGGTAAAAGAGTTAAAACTCTTCTTTTGTGTAACCATGTAGCAACTTGGAAAGATATAAGCCCGCAGGGCATTCTATTATTGTTGTAAACACTTGTTACTTATATGAAATCCTCTTTTGTAATATTAACTCTGATGTATGTATGGAAAAGTAATCTATCTTTCATTTATATAGAATTGTTAGATGTTGGATTTATGTGTTATTTTGAGGGCGTTACAAATGGTGGGAATATGATGAGAAGAATAAATATACGAAATATAGTAGAACTAAAGTTTATATGATTACAACATGCTGAGTCAAAATACCAGGGAGATGTACCTAAAATTACAGATAGAGCAGTAGAAGAATGTGTACCAGAGATGGTGAGAAACTATTTGAACATGGCTTCAACATCAGTTTGGATAAAAATAGGAGCGACTGGATCTAAAGGCTTAAAAAATTCCTCAGAGGTAACAACAGCAGTGCGATGAGCAAGCAGAGATCTAGACTAACTCTCGGGGCGTTGTGAACGACCTTGTGAGGAAGTACCAAGAGAGGTGTGAGTAGTAGATGAGCGGTCTGGATTGCAAAAGCAATCCTACTACAGGTGACCAGGACTAATCTTGTTGCAGTACCGACAGGATTTGATTGGGCAATGAAATACAAGATGAGTAGAAAGAAAGCACCGATTCTTACAATAATTGCAAGTAATGGGCGACTGGGTGGTTAGTATAGAGGAACTCAGTGATTGGGGAGTGGCAAGAACTGTATCCACATGATGAGTCTTAAGAGGGCCAAGACGAGTCTCCTCAGATAATAAAACAGAAATAGCCTGCTTAAGAGTGGGCAATGGAGTGCGATGAAGCAGAGATGCACGTATGGGCTCAAACTGGGTAGCGACAGCCATGAGAAACTGAACCAATCATTAGTGATTACGATACTGAGTAAATAAAGTAGCATCTTCAATTTGAGGCCAGGCAAGTTCAGAGACAGCGAGCTGGTCTCAGACAGAATATATCTAAGAGAGGAAATCATTAACAGACTAACCAAGCTCTTGACGCAGGCGATGAAGTTGACTTTGAAGTTGATACTGATAAGTACGACCAGTAGTCTAATAATGTTCTGTAAAAAAATCCCAAATGTCTTTGGTAGGAGTAGTCACGGAGTCAAGTTGAAAACGACCAAATTGTAAACTGATAGAGGTAACAGAAGTATTCTGAAGCTAAGTGATGATATGGTAATTCTTATTGTCCCAGTCCTCTAAACAGTTTGCATATGTGGCAACTGTTTCATGAACCTCTTATACCGGTTGAACCACTTCCCTAGTGATAATGCGCTAGAGTTTCTTCCCTTTCGAAAAACCGGACATAGCCTGTGCCCATAACACATAGTTGGAGCCGTCAAGAATAACAGAGATTGGATGAGAAGCATCATGACGATCCATAATGGTAGTTTGGTAAAGTAAATAGAGAAAAACAGTGCTATATGAGCAAAATCAACAAAAACGGAGTGCACCAATGGATTTAGAAAGCCCAAATTAGGTGGGAACCAAGATGAACCGCCCAAAAAAAATTGGACAGAATGAGCAAGATGCTACACTCTTTACGGTTGACGTCAGCGTGTCAGCGTGGCACGGAGGCTGAAGACGCGTGCGTGCATATAACGTCAGCACACAGAGGAAAGTAAGGCGTATAGGGCTGACGTAATGAGATAACGACAGCGGCTGCTTGGTTGAGCGATTGAGCAGTGGGTTGGCGATGAGCATATGAGAGCGTGTGTGTGTTTGATGGCGAAAACAGCAGACGCGCCTAGCACAAAGGCGAAGCATGAGAGGCGCGTGTTGGGCTTTATGGTGATGAAATTAATGTCGTTGGAATCGTGAGAAGATTCCGACCAGTTTGATGGTAAAGGAAAAAATTTTGAGTGAAGAAAAATATGGTGAAACAGTCTAAGCAGTGTTTGGGTGATTGAATAAACGCTTGGTAATTAAATAAATGCTAACTTAGGCCTCGTTTGGGAACAGGCTAATTTAGTAACTTTTTGGCTATTTGGCTAAAAAGGTAGGTAAAAAAAACTTGTATGTTTGGGATGACTTTTTGGCTAATTACGAAAAGATGTGCAAAAAGTAGAGAGAAAAGAGAATCTTTGACTTTTTGGTATGGGTTGTTGGCTTTTTGGCTAATTTAGTAACTTTTTGACTAATTAACTAAAATAGCCTCTTGCCAAACGAGGCCTAATTGTAAACAATAGTGAATTGCAATTGAGAATTATGCCCTCAATACACAACTCTCATTTAACGAGGCACATCTTTTACTTGCACTTCATTAATTTATAATTAATTTTTATATTTACTAAAATTGAGAAAGTGAAGAGAAAAACATAATTACCCAAGTAATTTGTTGCAAAAGTCATCTCAATTTTGTCTTCAGAGAACTCCAACTCTTGTGAAAATTTCCCAGCATTGTTTCTGCACATTCAATTCATTTCTACCATTATTTTCATAATTCTCTCTCTTACTCTCAAATAAATAAATAAAATATAGAAAAAGAAACTCACATGAGAATGTTAAGGGGTAAACCTAGAGACAAGAACTCAGAACAAAATCTCTTGACAGAAGCAAATGAGCTGAGATCAATTTCCAACAATATAATCTCAGCCTCTGGAGTTTCCTTCTGGATACTTTCCTTCACCTCTGCAGCTTTCTTCAAGTCCCTCGCCGGAATCACGACACGGGCACCTCTCTTTGCTAACACTCTCGCTGTCTCAGTCCCGATGCCCGACGTTGCCCCTTGTAAGTTGTAATGTAAAAACACCACAATTTAACAATAATGTTGTGTAAACATCATCACATCACAAATGAAAAAATATTATATAAAACAACAGTGTATGCAAGTATGAGAAATTAAAAAAAGTATTCATGTGTGTGAATTACATTATTAAATACCCTCATGAAGCATTTTTAATTATCATTAGTACTTATTATTCAAAAAGCAAATGATCTAGAGTATGATTCAATGAGAGAGAACAATTCAAAAGAGACAAAACTGTATCATGCTAGATTCAAAAAGGAGCACTAATAGAATACAATATGTGATTTTTACTGGTTTAAATACACATTAATTATCATCAATGGTAACAACTATTCTCTCCAAAAAGAATTATGTGTTTTTCTGATTGTAACTATTGAATATTCAAAAAAAAAAAAACTTAGAAAATTAAATGACAATTAAAGTGCTGTGTTTTGTTAATCAAAAAGTATGGGGGAGATAGGAACAGAAAGATATTACCGTGTGGGGAAAAAATAAAAAAGGTAGATAGAAAAGAAGAAAAAGAGACAAAATTACTCAGTTGATCATGAAAGTAAAAGAGAACTGGAAAAGTAACTACCTTGTATGATGTTTTTTGCTTTGTAGTTTGTACAATATATCAAGAAAATGTGAAGCAACACTAGTCTACAATACACCGTTAATTTTACTTCAAGAAAATTCCTTTTTCAAAAGATTTTCTATCAAAATAGAAAGATTTCTATCAGAATGAAATAGATGGAAACTGAGAAACAATGATTTATGTGGATGATAAAATCAAAACCGGGAGAGAATTCTAAGAAAAGTCATCAAATCTTCGCATAAATCTTCACAAAGGAATATTAATTACATATATATATATTATTCTTTCTCTGAAACCCTACTTCAATTTTGTGAACTCACAAAACAACAAAAAGAAGAAGAAGAATAAGAAATAAACAAATAAAAATATAGGAAGAAAAAAAAAAGAACATAAAAATTCTGCAACAATATCAAACTTGATGCATTTCTAAATATATAATGAAGTCTCTCTCATGGACAGATCAGAATGTGTATGTTTAAATGAAGACCAGATTCAGAAGGGGGGGAAATGGGCACTGTTCTTCATCATAAAGAAGTTTGTGTATGTGTTGTGTATTTGTGTGTGGTTGGAGATGAGATGACTAACCAGTGACTAATGCAGTGAGTTGAGCTTGAGAAGAAGGGAGTAAGAAAGAACAATCTTGTTGAGTAACTTGCTCAGCTGTTGAGTTTGATCCATATCCACTTGGGCCTGGAACACCTGCCAAGTACCTCAGTGTTTTCTTCATCAGGACACAAAACTTGCAATCTCTCTCACCCGACAAACAACAACTGCAACTATAGTAGGAAAGAGCACTCTCTACATAGATACACAAGATATATATATATATATATAAGGAACATTGAACTTTCTAGCAGTCCATGCACCACCAAAATAATAGATGGTATGACCAATCAGATCCCTGATTGATGCCAGAGTGTCAGGCTTTTTTGGTTTCGGGTTAGTAGGAAAGAGCACTCTCTAATTGATGCCAGAGTGTCAGGCTTTTTTGGTTTCGGGTTTGGATAATCTGTTTCCAAAATAGTTTTTTTATTTTATTAATTACATTTAGGTTTTTTCTTTTTCTTTTTCTTAAAAAAAAAATTAAAATCAATTAATAACCACAACTCATAAAAAGAGAAACACTAACTCTTCCAACCACAACTCATAAAAAGAGAAACACCAACTATACCTGAGTAATGGTCATTTGATCCCTTAAGAATTGTAGATCTGTAACAAGAACTTCTAAACTAGCTCTAGCATTTTCCAAATTCTTTTGTAGAAGATCAGTGGCCTGCATTTTGAAGTTTGAAGCACTTAAAATCTCGTGTCCGTGTGTAAATGCTAACATCTTAAGATTACAAGTGGGGTACCTCTTCACATGAGTACTCCAGTATGACATTTGCTCCCAGCTATAAACATACTGAATCAGTATCCTCGATGCATGCTCGGGAATAGATGCCTTCTGACACTTCAAAATCAACTAATAATGCCTGCAACCAGAATACGAAAACACATAAATATAGGAATATGTACGATACAATAGGAGTGGCTGAAAAGCATTGGCTTGAAGTTTTTCAACACAAACTAGAAGGTCCGCATTTGATACCAATACCATAGGTTTTATGTGCATGTGACACAACTGCTACACTTACCCAACATCAATGTGAAAAATTAGAGCCCACCATTTTAAAGTTGAATATTCTATTCACCACGCATGCATAAACTTGCATCAACTAATGCTCATAAACCCAAGAGAGCTAATGATCCAGTAACAGAAATCATGCTCTTGACCACATTATATCCATCCGTACAAAACCAAAATAAGCAAATAAAACTAACAAGGTCTGCCTTCACACCAGTAAACTGTCATCTCAATTTCAAATCTCAGTTGACAGCTCAGTTATATATAGGTTTACTCAAACTATAGAAATATTTAAAAATTTCTGAAGTTAAAAACGAACCTCGCCAGTACCCTTCTTAGCTTGCAAAGTAGCAACCACATCTAAGCACTTCTCAACATGTTGCAAGCCTGTTCACTTCTGTACATATGAAATAAAATGTATTAACTCAATGATATGGTCAATCCGAAATAAAATGTCTTAACCAAACAGGGCCATCTCACTCAATAGTCAATCCGAAACAAGAATCAACGCTCACCCGATGCTCACCCGAACATTTTGTAATTGCAGATATCGGTCTTTGAATGCAGAATCGTGCCCTCTGAAATCAAATTCCTAAACAACTGACTTCATAAATTATGCACACATTAATGTGGTATATCTAAAAAAACCATCATACCTTCAGCAAAGAGTGAACTTGCAGGGCATGAAATCAAAGCTAATGCTCCTACTCCCAACAGTATTGCCCTTCTCTTAGAATTTCCTGAAATTTACCATTATATAATCCAAAACAAGAATCAAAACAATCATATCTCACAAGAAGTTAGTTTATACATTCCACCTTTGTCATAACTAGCAATTTTGCATCAAATTTACAGCCCTAATTTCAGAATTCACAAGACCAGAAGAATTTGTTATGAAGTAAATTCTTCAAGAAATCATTATTACATCAAAGACATATAAGCAAATCCCATGTCACGAAACATTTCATGTTTGTTTTGGAAAACGGTTTGCTACTCGCAAGTAGGCTAAAATGCAGGTTTTGCCACCCTCGGGTGGGCTTTAGAAAAGATGGTTTTGCCATTATCTAGTGGGCTTAAAACTTACAGTCAATGCATTATTCCAATTTAGATAATCCAACCTTCACCCACAGGCATTCAGGCAGATATATCACATAAGCAATTAGCCTCATGGTAAGCATGCTATCATGGCAATCGCTCACACACATGCAAGGATGCTGAAGCATAAATACTTACCGAGTACTCCTAGCTAAAACAGAAGCTATGTTAGAAGTCCATGCATGATCCTAACTATACAGAAATGCCTAATGCAACACATGTAAAAATGCAACTACAATAGGCTCGGCTACAGTTAACAAGTATTCAACTCGGAATTGAAATACAATGCAGTTAGTATGATGCGCCGAGCCCGGTGCATGCAATACAGATGAATGATGCAAACATGCAAGCATAAGTATGCTAATTGAAACATGCTCTAATCTAACCATCATAAGCTGGTAAATAAAAGGGAGAAAGACGTGGGGTTGGAAGACATACATCACACACACGCACACTTATTACAATTGTGCCCTCGCTCGGAGGGTCCGAATAAATAATTACAGTCCGAATAAATAATTATAGTCCGAATGAATAATTAAATATTACAAAATTCTAATTGATTAAAAAAATTAACTAGGAAAGCAGTAAACTAGTATGCAAATTCACGGACCGCCTCAGCTATGTTCCGAGTGATGAATGATGCATGTTCGAGTTGCCTTGTGCGGAAATCCATTGCGATGCCCCGATTCGCCTCTGTTTACAATTAATCCCGGAATGCTGTGCGAAGCTCCAGAAGGCTGTTGATTTCTGATTTGCTGCAACAGAGAGCAAGAAAGGGGCATGGCAAAGTATTTTCACATATGTATGCATGACTACTCTTCAGGGAGTGTAGTCCTCGATCCTCGTACCACCAATCACACATCTCAATGCATGATGGCCGAGGAGTCGAATTGCACGACTCGATGTGAAATGAATGCACATGAAAACGCAACAAGACCTAAACTCCATCATGGATAATCCGGAGTGTCGGGGACCGGGATTTGAGACACGTTCCGTCACTCAGAGTACGAAACGTCTCTCGTTTTCTGTGCTTGGGCTAACTCCTATCCCAAACACAATGCAAATGAGATGGCATACACAATGCGACTAACATGTAACCTAGCATACGTAATGCTATGGGCTAAAATGGCATACACAATGCACGTGATGTAACATGGCATACACAATGCTCTAACATGCAACCTAGCATACGCAATGCTATGGACTAAAATGGCATACACAATGCATGATGGACTTACACTAATATGAGTAGACCTCAGCCACATTCACATCAGTGGCCATTAGATTGAAATGAGACAACCGAAACACATGCAAACATGCACAGATGCAAGGACCGATCCTAAGGCATGACATGCAACTCTAACAAGGCATAGCAAAGGATGAAACATGACATGGAATAGCATAAATTACAGCTCTGAAACAGCATGAAATATGGTCCTGAAACATGCAAATATGGCACATAATGCAAGCTAGGGGGCCCGGGTACCGAAACTAGTGAAGTGCGTTACACTAGAGGTACCCAAAGCATTGCACCAAAGGTGAAACCAACCCCAAACAGACCCTAGGCAGGTCTGAAATATTGGGAAATTGGCCTAAAATGATGACTCGGAATGCAACGAAATAGAGCTCATTTAATGGTCGGTAAATGGGGCATACAAGCCTGACTCTCAAACGCATTTAAAGAGATGAAAACATGGCAACATGGCATTCAAACAAGCTCTAAAATGTGATGAATAATAGGCTCAAAACATGAACACACCTCAGTATATGCATGGAATGAATCTCAAAACTCAAAGCTAAGCATGGACCTTGAACTACAAGCATGCAAAACTAATATCATTCAACCACAAGACCCAAAAACAGAGCTAGGGTAGTCCAAAATAAGTACATTATCAGTTAAGGCATGGCCAAAATACGCTAGAATCAATGGCCTATAAAGCATGCAAAGAAAGCTAGTGAACCATGAGTTGTTCTACAACTATATGAAGCATATGAGGGCTCACCCAACCAGCCAAAAATAGAAGTATTTCAAGCCAAAATATGCCCAAATAACGACTGAAACTCAGTCAACACATGAAAGAATGATAAGCCCCTTTGGAAAGCCATGCAAGGGGTTGTTCTACACATACATGATAGACAAGCGAAAGGGCAAAACCATTTCTGGAAATGAGTTATGACAGCCCTAAAACCCACCAAAAAGAGCCTAAAATTGGTCTAGGAAGCATGCAATGAAAGGTCCCTTTGAAAGGCCTTGAATGGGATTGTTCTACACATGCATCATAGACATAAAATATGGCCAAAGAGGCTCTGGACAGAGTCAAGGAAGACCTTAAAACTCACAAAATAGTGCCTGAAATGTGACTTCACAACATGCAAGATGGAGCCCCTTTGAAAGGCCAACAATGCTAGTAAAGAGAATAAGGGGTGAGAGGGTCACCCCTCTCTGATTTTGAAGCTCAAAAACACATCTAAGCCACTGAAAATCCACTGGATTTCAGTGGCTAAAAGGCCAAACTAAGGCCAATGCAAATGCTCAAATGCAAGGCTCAAAACATGAGGAAATGAAGCATGGAAGGGGGAAGATGACCCCAAACAGAAAAGAGTCCTTAAACAAACATGTTTAGAAGATCAAAACAAAACTTTTTCTAGTTTATATTGAAATCCAAAAATGCTTGCAAATAGGGTTAAGTGATGAAGCAAAATAATGCAAAAATGGGAGAAATGAGGACTTACCCTTATAGCACAGCAATGCAGCCAACTCTGGACCAAGAAAGTGAGCTCCCAACCTTTGAAAATCAGCGTCAAGGTGTTTGAATGGATGGTGGGGGTGGTAGGCTTGGAGGTGTAGTGTAAATGGCCAAGAATATTAGGGTTTTGGAGGCTTAAAGTAGAGAGATATGGAGAGTTGTATGTATATGCCTTAGCTGTTTTTTTCTAACCAGCCAAAGGAGGGGGAGGACCTCCTATATAGACAAAGAATTTTAAATCTTCTCTTGGAAGCTAAAAACAACTTTGAAGATC